TTAGCGCGAAGGATCTCCTATAAGCAACGATTTTTCATTATTTTAGGCACCGACGCTGGGTTCCTGTGTAGTTTGTCAAAAGCAAAAACGGCTTCCAGTAGAGGACCACGCCTAATTGATAGCAAAATGGGTAAGAACTTGGGTGCCTTCTCTATTTTTGGAAAAATACAGATCGTAAAGCTGCACTGTTTAAGATGTTTATGGTGAAGTTCTCTGTGTCAAGGTGTCGCCATGTGAAAGCTCTGTTTTTCTTGTAAGTATTTGATTTCTTTTATTTCCGTGATTTAAACATCTGCAAACACCTGTGCTTACTGCGTCGAAGCAGGGTTGTCAGAGTGATTCTTAGTAAGGGTATCGAGACCCTCTGACTGTTAGAGACCGCAGATTCCAGAGGCGCAGGAAAAGGAATATAATGAAATTAACACCTCGCGTAGCGATTCAGCGAGAGAAAGCTCAGTCAAGGTGGAGCAGAAAGAAACTTATATATCAAAAAACGAAAAGTAGAACAGAAGGGACTAGCCTGAAAGGAAGAAAGCGGGCTGTCTGAGCGACGTTCCCGAACTGCGATACTCGTGAAGTGTCGAAGGGTGTCTCCATTATCCGGCTCTATCCAGAGCTCCTCTGAAGGCTCGACGCCGAGTGATCACGCTGAAAAAATTGGGGATAGGATCATGGAAGGCATCATGCGGTTAATATAATTACTGAGCTGGTAGCGAATATAAATGTACTGGCATTGTCATAGCGTTCCTAGAGCAGACGGCGATCCATGAGCTATTTCAAGGAGGGTAATTGTGAGTCTCATCCAGCGGTTAGGATAGAAACCGTTGGGCATTGCTTGCTCCGAACGAAGGTTTGAAGCTTCGACGCGAGGACCTAGCTCGCGAACAATCGGCCGAAGAGCATACATTGGTAGCATTCAAAAAGACAGGCTGAGGACTCAAAAGCACTGAAAACTGCCGCTGTTTCTCAATTCTTTAAACCTATTCAGGCGTTCTTGCCACTTCCTGTGCCGCAAAAACGCTCCTATCCGGCTTCATAAATATCACAAAGCGCTAGGTTTCTTGGGGTTCCTGCTACCACTACTCACCAGTCAGTATCAACAGTGTCAAGCTATGGGCTTGTCTCTGCCGTGCCAAATCGGTGGGAGCTATGGGCGAGTTTCTGCTGCTCATAGGTACACATCCCAATCATGATTGCTATACGAAGCTTCATACATCTCAATAACTAGAATCGACGGTTGTCAGAGTGTGTCATTAAAGTTATGACAGAATCATTTAATGTTGGCAACCCTTTGAACATGAAGAAAGAAAAGAATACGCATGGGAAAATTAAGCGCAAGAATTAAGAAGTAATTAAGCTACAGCGGACCGTCGCATATAACATTACCTTAGGTTGAACAAACAGAGATCTTGTACGTGCATCAAAAATAATGGTGAAGATGTAGTTGGTAGGGGAGTGGAAAGGGGGAAATCGGGAAGTGGGGGTAAGGGAAAATGGAGGGGGAGCACACATGGCAGTGTCAATAGTACATCAAGGAATCAACACGGTACTTCGTGTTATTCCATGTTACGTCGCGGATATGCAATCCTTAACTAACCGTAAGCAATCCTCAGGGGGGAAGGAGCACCAGGTGGGCGAGATTTCAGTTTTCTCAACGAGGTACTCTTCTCACCCACCCCTCGGCTCCTACACTCCTGAGGCTTAATTAAACATTCCCACTGGAATTGTAAAATCAAGGAGCAGGAGCAGGGGAACAACACAAAACTTAACTAGAAAATTGGGCTACTGGATTGCATAACGAATTGAGTGTTAGGGAAAAAATTGTGTCAACCACAGAGAACCAAGCTCCCGCTTGAGGTCTAAGGTTAACGCCAAAGATGGATTGAATTTGTTCGTTCCCGAGGGCAAACTTCGTTGGGGACAAGAATCGAAAGGTATGATTCAGAAAAGGTGGGAATAGATTAATCAAAGGGACAATTGCGCCAGTGTCAGTCGCGCCTAATGAATGGTCGGAGGAAAGCAGATGGTCAGGGATCCGAAAAAATAGATTAAAAACGACTCGCCTTTGCCTGAAGATCGCTTGGCTGCTTCCAATTAGATGCTGATACGTTTCGAAGAAAAGGCAGGATCCATGATCCATATTTCATGCAACCGATTCAGAAATCACAAGAATGTCAGCACAGCGAGCTGCATAGAGGGTCCGAGCCTGGCAGGGAAGGCCGTAGTCTGGTGTGTTCGACAGGCTTTTCAGTACGTCGGCTGTCGTTGATAATGTCTTCGTCTGGTCTTCTGCTGAGCTCCATTACAGTCGTGAAGACTTGCCTCCTCCTGTACTTAGAAGGCGTAATCAACGCATCGAATCCAAAGCCAACCTCAAGTGCTGTACTGAATCAGAGTGGTTCATAAGCGACCCTCCATTAGGAGTCGTTTATGGGCTATTCTGAATCAGTAGCGTAGTGAAAATTCTTATAGACGGAATTAAACGAGACTTGGAAAATTCAGCCGTCAAAACAACCTTATTGACTGAATTCCGGCGAGTCGCCTTCTTCAAGACCATAGCGCAGATGAAGCTATTGGTAGATGTTGAGATGAATTCCAATAGACCCATTTGGGCTAAGGCTTTGAGAGAAAAATCGTCAAAATATCGGCCGATGAAATTGTTTTGTTATGAGTCTTTGATACACACTTGTGTCGAATAACATCACATCACAACAACAACAATCAACAAAAAGTAAACTATAATGAGTGTTTACTTGTGCCCAAACTCACAGAACCGGCAAAATGATATTACCCAGGCGCGGACAGACTTCTAGTAGTTGTCTCTGCCCTGCCATACTGCTGGGGTTACCACTCGCCATCCGCACGTTGCCGACCTCAAAAAAAGCATACCTTAACCGGGAACATGAGGATTGTACAGTGAACGGCAGGATATACCGAAGAAGCGCCCCATTTCGGGCAGAAGACACAGCTATATTAGTTTTGGCTTACTGGACACCCATATGAACGTGTATCCTGCCTTGAATGGAAATTCTCTATGAGACGCACTCCTTCACTGCAACTCTGGCTAAAGCAGTTTTGAAATTGTCGTATTGTACCTATTCAGGTGGGATTTTCGTCGGGTTCCATAGCCGTGTATCGCTTCAGCCAGCTCAGGCCTACTATCGTTCTTACTCCCCCATCAAGCTCAAGGAAACCTGTCACTTCTATCGAATGGTCACCCATGTGAGCACTTTATTCATTCTCAGGCATTTATTTCATTTTTACCTTTCGAATGAAGACCAGTTAAATAATGACTGATCATTAAGCTCGCCAAGTATATTCTACTCTCTTCATGGACATCGTCGATTACTCGTCTGGGATCTGTCCATGGGACTTTCTCCACTAGCCGTAAACGACCTATCTCAGCAGGTAATGATTAACACTATGCACTAAGCCCGTCAACTCTAGTTTATTACTCCGTAGCGCTTCTGGGATTTCACCCCACTCACCTCAAGGAACAGGATGGGGTGATGGGTGAAGTAAGCGAGAGATATTTAACGCAATTCCTCTGCAGCTGAGAAAGGCTTCCTGTGATTGTCCCCTCAATTATTCCAAGAGTCCCTCTCCTCTACAGCTAAGCAGACACCATCCTTCTAATAAAGATGCCTGAGCTTGCCTGGGCACAACGACACATTTTGCACAATGTGGGTTCTCAATTATGGGAAGCTTGTTCTCGTTGTCCTCCCTACCCTCAGCCAAGCAGTCTCACAGCCATTAATGAATTCCAGATGTGCCACTGGGTCCATGTGCGCTCCAGTAGCTCCAGTAGCTTCCAATGTGACTGCACTGGGTCGATGTCCTATCCAGTGATTGATGGGTGTAATCGCAGCCACCACCATAAGATCTGCAGGATCCTACTCTTCTAACTCTCCCTACTGCGAATATGTACATCCAAACAGTCATTCTGCCATGGCCAGATGGGTCAGAGATGCCAGTAAAACAATCTTGACGGTACTAGTACTCTATGGTAGTTGCAGTTTATGTAAATGGGATCCCTAAGAAGTAGTGGAGGGATTAAGAAAAGAAAAATGACAAAGATATATTCATGGTCTGAAAAGATTGCATAGGATCACTTGAAATCGAGATTTTAATGATAACCAGTTTTCTATACCAGTTTTTCTTATGATAATTATTAAATTGCCAACGACAGACGAACCGAAAAGCCAAGTAGGTAGCTCATAAAATCGATTGATATGAAAGGAAGCTGAAGAAACGAGGTATTTATAGATGGTGCATAAATATGAATACAATTATATACAAAAGCTAATAAAACTAGGGAAAATTCGATTTCTGAAGAAGTGTGGCCTTAGAAAAAAGGAAAATTCCGAGATTCATCAATTAGAAGGAGAAGCAGGGAGGCGAGAGGTGGCGTGCAGT